TATCTCATTGATGGTAAAAATATTATGATAAATTTTTCAAATAAAAAAAACTTCTGTAGTCAAGATAAAAAAAAATAATAATATTACATATATAAAATAATAAAAAGTATTCGGATAGAATAAAAAAATTAGCATAAGAGTGATGAATGTATATTATACATTTTATAGATATTTAAAGCGTTGAGTATATTAACTATAATAGTTAAAACGTTAAAAGTAAAAAAAAAGTTAAAAAGTTTATAACTCTTAACTTAACTTAGTTAATTTTAAATACATTAATTTTCAACTTAATTCAATTACTTTTAAACATTAATTTATATTAACTTTTTTTAAATTAAAAATTTTTCTAACTCTTAATATTTTTTCTATAAAATTTTAAACATTAGAGAATTAATGTAAAAAAAGTTCAATAATTTTATAATTAAAAATTTATAATAAGAGTCACACCATACGGTAGCCAATTTTTTCTTGCTAGGTTTTATCAATTCCCGTTCATATTTGAATCACACTAAGGTGTCACAAACATTATATTTCAGCAATATAAATATGAAATAAACTTTAGATAAAGAATTGTTGTAAAACAGTGCTGCACATCCACCCATTTTCAAAATTTTTACGTATATTTTTTTTATAACAAATATCTAGTCAATGTAGTCGTAAACATGCGTGAACAGTTCGGAAGTTAAGGAAAGTTAGATAGAAGTTAAAGAAAGAGAAATAATGTAAATATATACCCTCTCACAAGATTTTGATAAAAATGCCTTATGATGTAACTTTTATTACGTATAAGTAAATAATAACGATGTAAAGACTCTTAAATGTAAACGTAAATAAACAAACAAACGGCGAAAGAAGAGTCAGTAAGTTAAAAAAACATTTAATTAATTAGAATTATTAGGCGACGATACATGAACAGATACGGAACGGCGCATATAAATGTGTAAATGTATAAAAATGTATAAAAATATATATATATAACAAGTTTCGGCTACGAGATTGAGCCCTCTTCAGATGTAAAGCGCGAAAAAATAAACGATAAGTAAAAAATAAGTAAAAAACAATTCATGTCGCAATTAACATTAAACGTAAAGAAGTAAAATTCAGATGGATCTCAAAAATACGATTGAGCAATCAAGGTGTCCATTATCAAAGCCAGATCGCTAGACAAGACAAGAAGAAAAAGAACTTGTAAGAAAAAACAGACCTTGACAATTAAAAACGCCGTTATCATGATAAAATCGCAAACTCACCAGCAAACCCGAACAAATCAAAATGATCCCCCGCACATGCAAAGGTGAACCATGTGTAAGCCGTAACACTCCGGCAATATTGCACATGCCAGAGCCGGACATGTCGGCGTCGCTCACGACGTGACCGCTCGCTTAAACGGAACA